AATTTAAAATCTCACAGTTAAAATTTAAATAATTTAAAATTTATTATTTGAATAATGTAAAGTTTGATGCTAAATTTCAAGAAAAATAGACCAACTTCAACCGGTACAAGTCTAAGGTCGTATTTGATTTGTAGTTGAAATTTTAAAGATGAAAATGAAATTGAGATAAGGATTTGAATAATAATGCTTGGTAGATATGAATTACAGTTCCTATGAATCCTGATTTTATGAAAATAGGCTGAATTGAATTGTTTGTTTAAAGTCATGGAATTAGGAGCAATTTCATAAAATTGTAACTTTTAAGACACTTTTACCATCATAAAAATTTTAGAAAGATAAATTTACCTTAAAGACATATAACCCTATCACACTCAAAATTGACTACTAGGCATGGCACAATGAGCAAAGACGCAAGAGAAATGGCAAGATTGACAACAAGAAGGATGACAAACGATGGTCTAGATAGATATTTTGGATTTCATGACCAAGGCATGATAATCGACTTCCCTCCTCCATCCTTTTTCATCTTGGATTTTATATCCCTCTCCCGTCTCTCCTGTCTTTAGATGTGGCTACTTCTTCTTTGTTAAGGTACTTCTTCTTCTTCTTCTTGTCGGTGCAAGAAGGTTCGAGCTCAATCATAATCCCTCCAGCATGAAGTTATATTATGTGATAGTTGATATGCTCTATAATCTCTTACATTTGGTACCCTCCTCTTTTATAAACTAATGTCAATGCCTTGACAAATATTACACCCCTACTAAGAAGTCCAGAAAATTATACCTGATAGCAAGCATAGGCAAGAACAAAACATGAGAAAAAATAAGTAAAAATGACACTGCTTTAGTTTTTGTGTTAAAGATCAGGAAATGCCATACAATCATCATAGTTTAAGTTTGCATAAAATTGATGATATGGGTTTAGAGTTTAGAGAGAATGACAATGATCTACTAATGAAATGCTATCAATTAGTTGCCTTAAGTTGCTCGACTCAATGAGTGCAGCAAGCATACTAAACGAGATTTTTGCTCTCTCATACTCAGATCTAGTCCCAATTTTTTAAATTAAATTGAAGTCTAACAACAACACTTCTCATCCATTATAGATTATTACCTTAAAAATTAGTTCAAAGCCAGCATGACACAATGTGTGTTTAGTTTAAGATGATTTACTAGAGTTCCATGATTTTTCAGTCAAAGATGATTTACTAGAGTTTTATTAAATATGGGTTCTACGTTAGAATTTTATACATTTTTTTTGCCAATAGAATTTTATATATTAAAGTAGATCTTACCTTGTGATATTTATTGGATGTTTTAGAATTTTTTAACCTAATATTTAAAATTTGTAACTTACAATTATAGATCTAAAAATGAGAGATGTGATAGTTAATTTGATGATTTGGTGAATGCGGGTTCTTCACTCTATGTATTAATCTTTTTTTGCCATCTATACCATTATAGCCTTGCGTAGGAACGTATTAGTCAAATGCCATATACAGTAGACTTTGATGCTAATAGAATCCACTTATAGAACTTGGTGTATAGAAGTAACACTGCTTGTTATAACCAGCTTAGAATGAATAGAGCCACATTCGACAAGCTATGTCTTACGCTTGACATTATAAGGGGTTTAAAATCAATCAAAAACATGCTAGTCGATGAGCAAGTGCCAATGTTCTTACATATCCTTGCACATCATCTAAAAAATAAAGTTACACGATTTTATTTGAGGAGGTTTGGTGAAACTATAAGTTGGTATTTTAATTTGGTCTTAACCTCTATAATGAAATTGAATCAAGAGCTTCTAAAGAAACCTGAGATTAATGCTAAGGATTTAATAGATGAAAATTGGAGGTGGTTTAAGGTAATCTCATATCTTAATTCACAACTTATATTAATGATATTATTTATTTATTCTTTTAATTAATTATTTTTCATTTTTAGTATTGTTTAGGTGCTCTTGATGGTACCCATATTAAAGTGAAGGTGCCTATGGCTGACAAAGCAAGATATAGAAATCAAAAGGAGAAAATAACCACTAATGTGTTGGGAGTTTGCTTTCTAGATGGACAATTCATATATGTTTTAACGGGTTAGGAAAGCTCAACGTCTGATAGTAGAGTTTTGCGAGATGCAATTACTCATAGGAATGGTTTGAAAGTACCTTAAGGTAATGTTAATTTGTTAATTTATTTTTAAGTAATGATCAATGTAGTAATAAACTTAAAGTTAATTTCTTTTATTCTTATAGGCTAATATTACTTGGTTGATGCGGGGCATGCAAATTGTGAAAGATTTCTTGCCCCATTTTGAGGTTAGCGATACCACTTAAGTGAGTAGAGAGATGGACAGCAGCCTTTAACTCTACGTGAGTACTTCAACATGAGGCATTCATCTGTGCGTAATGTTATTGAACATTATTTTGGAATGTTGAAACTACAATAGGCAATTCTTAGAAGTCCTTCATTCTACCCCGCTCAAGTCCATAATCAAGTTATCATAGCATGTTATCTCCTTCATAATTTGATCCATCAATAAGGAGATGATCCACTGGATGCAAAGATAGAAGCATTCAAGGCAATACCAATTATATGAAGATATCTTCCATTCAAACAATTGAGACATCAAATGCATGGGCTAACTTTTGTGATACCTTGGCAAATGAAATGTTTGTTGAACTTATGAGTCATAAGGGTAGTATGTGAGCATTAGAAGAGACACATAAATCTAGATGTGACTTATATTCTAGTTGAAAATTTGTAGATGTATGTTTTATGTAATGACAACATTATAAACAATTTTATTAGGTGATATTTGCCTTCTTTGCAATATTGTGGTGTATGATATTTTATCTTTACAACAATTGATTATGTTATGATATGTTAAAACTAGTGACGATTTTTGTTGTTTAAGTAAGATTATGACAGGTGGCGATTCCATAAAGTCAACACATCATGTTTAGACACCTAAGGAAGACTCCCTTCTTGTGCAATCCTTGCTTCAACTTCATGATGACGGGACCTTGGTTGTAGGCAATGAGTTTAAGTCTGCAGGTTTAAAGAGGTTGCAAAAATGATAGAGGAAAAGTCACTTGGATGTGGGGTAATACTTGTACCTTACATTCAATCTCGTTTGAAGACATTAAAAACTAGTTGATAGGTCATATATTATATGTTATATGGTTCAAACACATATGGATTTGGTTAGGACCTTGACAAACAATATGTCACAGCAAACAAGGAAGTGTGGGATGAGTATATTAAGGTAAAACTTTACTAAAAAATATTTTTTATTTCAACTTTTATTCTGATAATAAATATTGATGCAGACTTGAATTTTTAAGCTTATTTGCTTTTTGATATTTTTGTATGATTTTGTGTCTACAGAGCCATAAAAAAGCTACTCATTTTAAGAACAAACCCTTTTCCTCTCTTTGATGCACTATGCTCTATATTTGGAAAAGATAAGGCAATAGGAAAAGGGTCACTTTCAAACTATGATGTGCATGAGGTTGAAGCTAATACAGAGTTTGATACAACAACTGCTAATATTGATGAAGTTACTGTAGATATTAGACTAAAGATGGATCCATGAATTACATTCTCTAACCATCCATCAGAAAACACAAATGTTGGCACTTCTAAGTCTAAGAAAAGGAAAAGAACTAGCCAAGATCGTGATGATCTTATGATTGTGCACTTAAAGAGATATTACTTTCCAAGACATCAAGGATTCCTTTTCCTAATTAAGAGCTTGTTTAGACAAGTTGGCTCGAGAAGCAATGTTAGATGCACAAAGAAAGGCTCTATATGATAAGTTGTTGAAGGTTGAAGATCTTACTGACAATGAGCACGCTGGTGCATATCTTAAAATGATAGGTGATGATAAAATCCTTACTGGATTTCCTAACCTACCAAATAAGGCTAAGGCAGCTATGGTTCGCAAAATACTTTATGCATAAATGTTATGTGTAGATCATATATGCTACTTCTTTTGGGTATTATAGTGTAGCTAAGTCTACATTGTAAACCATAATGAATATATTTGTTTAGCTTTATCATGGTTAATAGCCTTTTTGATTAAGTAATTGTAACTACCTTACATATAGAAAGTCTGCATTGTAAAGCACTCAAATCTACTAGTTTAATTCATTTTTTGGTTTTGCCATGGCAAGTAAAATGTGCATTGGAAGATATGACAAAAAAATTGAGTCAAACGTTCTACCTAAAGATAATAGTTTGGTTCGCCTTTAATTATGTGAAGAGGTGGTCTATGTTTACTAGCTTCAATCTTTTTTTTAGTTTGTATTTTGTGATTTAAATAATTATCTCTAATATTATTAAAAAACTTGTATTGTGAGAGTCTTAAACAAAGTAAATCATCCAGATTCACAACCCATTTTATATCATGTTTTTTCTAATAATATATGGCCGCAAAAAAAAGAAAAAAAGGAGTATAAAGGAGTGTATGATATTTTTGCTCAATATATATAAAATGTTTATTATATATATATATATATATATAAGATAGTATTATATATATAATACTTATATATAATTTATATATGTATACTATTTTTTGTAAAATATTTTACTTATATATAATATCTATCATCTATATTATATTGCATTAACATGTAAAATACATAAGGAAATTGAAATACAATTAAGCTTTTATTATGTTTTGTTTTAATTTTTATATTGAGATATTTTTGTCTTTTAAGTATAATTTCATTTCCATGTCTTAAGTACCAAACAAAAATAATGCAAGGATTTCATCTAATTTTTTTGATATACCAAATATATTTTTATAATCTGATTTGGATTTTAATTTTGTTTTCAATTTTAATTTTAATTTTGTAAAAAAATTTTCAATCATACCAAACGGCCGAAGATTTGAAGATGAAGGTCTCATGAAATGGCAAGGGTCGCCATATAACTCAATGCACTGATTCCCTTCTTTAATTTAAACAACTCTTGTGTTAGATCTCACCCGCTTTCTCTTCTCTCATCCTTCATCATTCATGACTTCAATTTTCTTGTACGACCATGTTTGAGTTTGTTAGGTTTCATGGCGGCGGAGAGCTTCGTTGGTATATCTATATCTATCAATAGATCAGGTTTTTCCCTGCTGTCTTTGAGTTTCTTTGCTGGTTTCTCTCCAATTCTTTTACATTCTAATATAAAATTTCCAAGTTTCATTTTCTCTTTAAGATTTGCCTAACAACTTGTTATATTTTATTATTATCAATCGCCTTGATCTACTAACATGAGTCATTAATCAATTGGATTATCTCCATTTCTCTAAACAAAGTAACAAACCCACGTATCACCTTAAATATTCTCACTAAACAAACACACTTAACAAGCTCGCTGGGATTGAAATGGAAGCGGAGAGAATGGACGGTGATGAGATCCAGAACTTCATCAAGATATGGATCAAAGCTATCTCATGCCTCTGCTATTGTTACTACGTATCTTCAAGAATACCGAAAGATCTCTTCAGGCTTCTCTCTCTCTTGTTCCGATCCTCTTCGTCTTCCTCCTTCTTCCCTTAACCCTCCGCTCTGTACACCTCAGTGGGCCCACCACCTTCTTCCTCATTTGGCTCTGCCCTTTCAAACTCTTGCTTTTCTCCTTTACTCAAGGCCCTCTCTCGCCTCTCCCTCCAAACATCGTTCATTTCATCCTCATCGCCTCTCTTCCCGTCAAGATTCAATCTCAGACTCAGATCCTTACTAACAACCCAGAAAACCGAATCTCAAAATCGATTCTCTTTGTAAAAGTGCTTCTCTTGGCTGCGATCGTCCGCGCTTACATCTACAGAGATAACCTCCACCTGCACTTCATCTTATTCCTCTACTTCTGCCACGTGTACCTTGGCCTGGAGCTATTATTAGGTCTCTTTGCCGCTCCAGCTCGAGCCATGTTCGGTTTCCAGATCGAGCCGCAGTTCAACGAGCCATATCTCAGCACGTCGCTTCAGGATTTCTAGGGTCGTAGGTGGAACCTCATGGTAACCAGTATTCTACGGCCCACCATATACAGTCCATTACGACATTCATGTTCGCACATTTTGGGCCAATATTACAGCCCAATGCCAGCTATGCTGGCCACGTTCATTGTTTCGGGTTTGATGCATAAGTTGATCTATTATTACCTTACACGGGTGCCTCCCACGTGGGAGGTCACGTGGTTCTTTGTGTTGCACGGTGTGTGCACGGCCGTCGAGGGGGAGGTGAAGAAGGTGGCGGGTCGCCGTGGATGGAGGCTGCACCGGGCAGTGTCGGGGCCGGCGATGGTGGTGTTTTTGATGGCGACAAGCGAGTGGTTGTTTCTTCCTCAATTAAAGAGAAATGGTGTGGATAGGAAAGCCAATAAGGAGTATTCAATAATGGTAGATTTTTTAAAGTCGAAATTACAACAACACTGGTGTTGAGTTTTGAAACTGCTGTGGCTTTAGATGTGAGACTTTGTGTGAGTGGGATTATATTTTTTTATACTAACTACTATTATTGATTATTGAGGTTAGCAACTTTTTCAATATATATAACTTTTTTATGTATAAAATTCGAACCATCAAATTTCCTTAAAAATAACTGAGTATCTTACATTGTAAATTAATTAACCATACCGTTGGTTTAATTTAATCATATATGCTTCTTTAAGTAACATAATATTATATCTTTTCCAATTCTATTGTTGTTATAATCTTGTTCCAAAATTGTTGTTTGAGAGTTTTAATACTTGGTTTATTGTTTTTTAGGCCTATTGGTTTCGTTGAAAAACATGAGAGATTGTGGTTTTTTAAAAACGCCCACCGAATACTAAATAGCATAGATTGTGAACACTACTTGTCGATGTGTATATAGAGAATATTATCACTCGAATCCCCCCCCCCCCCCCAAAAAAAAAAAAGGGAAGAAGAATATTACCACTCACAGCTAGACTACAAACCTTGATAAAGCGTGTAATTAAATTACTTTATAATCGTGAACACGATTAATTTAACTAATTAACTTTATTTCGTTATGATCATTTACATTGCAATATTATTACAGAGAGTATATATATTGTAAAGAATTCAGAGATGTTCAAATAAATTAAGTTATAGTCTAATATAGATAAGGTGTACTGTTGGCATGTGTTCTAAATGTGGCCATTGCACAAAACCTTTAATCCTTTGTGAATAATGCCATATTTTGTAAACAGCGTTATACACTTAGGCAGCATTAGTGTATATTTATGGGAATTTTAAACTGGGAATTGAATTATGGAAATTTGTTGTTTTTATATTAAGAATTGAACTTGGTACTTGCTATTTCTGAAATGAAATTGTTTGGGCTAAATCAATTATGCTTTTTATTACTTTCGTCACTGTATATTGACTACTAAAGGTTGGCTATACTGTATGCTCAAAGGGAGAGGCGCTTCATTTATAAAAGAAATAAAGGAGCAAATTATCTCATAATTTTAAGTTGAGCAACACCATAAATATTAAATTTATTTATTATATAAATTATTTTTTTAATTTTTAAAAATGGTGTAATTTGCTCGTCATTAATAAAAATCAACTTTAATAATTAGTTAATTAAAAAATATTTTTTTTAATCATCTTCTGTAATTTTTTGGATCTTTGTTTATAATTTGTAGATCCTTCATTATAATTTTTTATTATTTTATGTAATTTTTTATATACTTTTCTATTATTTTATGGTCAATTACCTATCAAAGTAAATTTTTATTAACAATAAAATTCAAATTACACCGTTTTTAAATATTAATAGAATAGTTTGTACAATAAATAAATTTAAAATTTATGATACTACTAGATTTAAAATTTATGAAGTAATTTGTTCAATTATCCTCTATGGAACTAAATTTTTTTTTTTGGATAAAAAAACTAACAATATTTAAATCTTATAATATATAACTGTCAAATTTTAGCCAAAATTTATAGGATTGTCTCTTTAAATATATACTTCTTTTGTAAAATATTTTTAACTAAACCACACCTTTCAATAAGATAGTTGGTTATTTTCAAACTAATATTATCTTTCTACGTTTATTTTTATTTAATAAATTATATAAATTTAAAATAAATATGAAATAATTTATTTATTAAGAATACTTTTTGAAAAAAAAAGCACCTTATTTGCTTCAAAATTTTAAAAATATCTTATATTTTTTAATATTTAAATATTTAAAAGATTCTTTTATATTTTTAGACAAAATGAATATATATATATATATATATAAAAAAGAGAGAGTACTTTCTAAATTCTTAGATTTATCAAATCAAAATAAGCTTCCTAAATTAGCCTGTATCAAATAAAATTTCAAATTAGTTTCGTTTTCTCATCAAGGTATGACGAACAACTCGTTACATTTATTATCATCAACTGTCCCATTTTCTAACCAATAAACCCCCCGTCACATTAATTCATTAAATATTCTCTCCACCCACAGCCACCCAGCGAAGCACATACGTTGAAGAAACATTGAAGAGGACAGAGAGAAAATGGACGAAGATGAAATCCAGAACTTCATCAAGGTATGGATCAAAGCCATCTCATGCCTCTTCTACTGCTACTACGTATCTTCAACCATACCAAAAGGTCTCTTCAGGCTTTTCTCTCTTGTTCCAGTCTTCTTCGTCTTCCTTCTTCTTCCCTTAAACCTCCATTCTTTCCACCTCGGTGGGCCCGCCACCTTCTTCCTCGTTTGGCTCTGCCCTTTCAAACTCTTACTTTTCTCCTTCGATCAAGGCCCTCTCTCCCCCCTCCCTCCAAACATCGTCCATTTCATTCTCATCTCATCTCTCCCAATCAAGATCAAACCTCAGATCCATACAAACAACCCAGAAAAGCGAGTCTCGAAATCGATTCTCTTCTTAAAACCGCTTCTCCTGGCTGCGATCATCCGCGCTTACGGGTACAGAGATAACCTGCACCCGCATTTCATCTTGTTCCTATACTGCTCCCACATGTACCTCGGCTTGGAGCTCGTGCTGGGTCTCTGTGCGGCTCCTGCTCAAGCCGCTGGATTCCAGATCGAGCCGCAGTTCAATGAGCCGTATCTCAGCACGTCGCTTCAGGACTTCTGGGGTCGTAGGTGGAACCTCATGGTAACCAGTATTCTACGGCCCACCGTATACGACCCTATACGACAAATATCTACAAGCGTATTGGGCCTGCACGGCCCATTGCCAGCCACGCTAGCCACATTCGTTGTGTCGGGTTTGATGCATGAGTTGATATATTATTACCTCACGCGAGTGACTCCCACGTGGGAGGTCACGTGGTTCTTTGTGTTGCACGGCGTGTGCACGGCCGTCGAGGTGGAGGTGAAGAAGGCGGCAGGTCGCCGTGGATGGAGTCTGCACCAGGTGGTGTCGGGGCCACTGACGGTGTTGTTTTTGGCGGTCACCGGCGAGTGGTTGTTTTTCCCTCAGTTAGTTAGAAATGGTGTGGATAGGAAAGCCATTGAGGAGTATTGGGTGATGGTTGATTTTGTGAAGTCCAAGTTCTTACAATAGCATTGACGTCTTGTCTAGAAAGTGCTACGATTTTAGGCGTTGGAAATTATATATATATTTTAGGGAAATGGTATACTATTTTTTTCATGGTTGGTATACTAATTTCTTAAGGTCCGTTTGGTTACAAGAATTTTGGGCTGTGAAATGATAATCATGTCTCCATTCATATGTCACCCATGTTTGATTACTTGTAAGAGACATGAAATGATTTTGTCTAAGATCGTGGATTACCATATTTTTAAAAATGGAGAAGCCTTTGAAAAATAAAAAGAATCATATTGCCCACCTTAAATCTAACATGTTTTTTATCAAAATGCATCTTTAATCACACCCACCTTTTTATTTTTTATTTTATTTATTATTTCCTCTTTATAATATTTTTAATCTTATAAAAAATATTTGTTAAGAAGTTTTTGAATTTAGTCAAATTTAAATTTAATTTCTTGTGTATCATCTTTATATATCTTTCTTATTTTGTACTTTTACAAAGTAAAATTTAAATTTAAAATAATTTTCTTGAAACACATTAATATATATATGTGTGCGCGCGCATGCATGCCTGCATGTAGAGCGTGTGTGTGTAGAGCGTGTGTGTGCGCGCGCGCATGCATGCCTGCATGTAGATGTGTATAAATTTTTGAAAAAACTTTTGAATGAAAATTAAAAAAAAAAAAAAGGCAAATGCATTGAGATAAGAAAAAAGTGGTTGTTGCCTCGTTATGGTAAGGGTATTAAGGTCTTTATACTTTAATTTATATTTAAACAAATAATATAAATAAACTCTATTTTCATATACTTAAGTATTATATTAAATAAATTTATAATTATGATCATTCCATTTTTTTCCATTCTTCATCATTTCATTCTTTTTCATTATCTCCTTTTTCAAGAGCCAAACGTAACCGGAGGGTTTAATCTCTTAAAAATATAGTTAAGCTGCTCGAAAAAGTAACTAATATGATATATAATCAGCTGTTAATGTAATAATCAAAGTCAAAATATTGGATAAGAACTCACGATTCGTGGAACGTTAACAATGTGATTCACGAACAATTATTGCAATATTATTTTTTTCGGGTGAGTCTAGTTATCATTTTTTTATTGACTAAAAACATAGATTTAATAATTTAATATATTATAGTTTGTTTTACTTTTCCTAATATGCTTTAGGGGTGTCACAGGATGGGACAGGATCGAAACACTCCTGTTTCATGTCCCATCTCAAAAAAAAGAGCGAGACAAAAATTTTTATCCCGTGTCCCATCTCATTTCAAAAGTTGTCTTGTCTTGTTAAGAATCAAAGATGGGATTGAAAAGAGATCAGGACATCCCGCTGCCCCAATAAATCAGACAATGTCGAAGATAGATCTGCATAATAACATTTATTAAAATTTTAAATCATATAATTTATTAATTTTAAAATTAAAATAACACAAGTACATAAATTACAATAATTTAAAGTCAATTATTGAATTATATTAATCACAACTACACATTATGATAGTAATTACAAGTAATCTCTAGGTTATAATAGCAGTAATAACAAGCAAGCCAATCACAACATCAATTTATTATTCTTCTACTTTAGTTGAGATGTGCTAAGCTAATTACTCTTTTGCAAATAAAACAAGAAATATAATATAAATAAAAGTTATTAACTATATAGATATAATAATAAATTATATTAATATAATTAATATATTATAAATAAAGATATCACCTTGTTAACTCTATATTATTAAAATTATCAAAATAAAAAACTTTAGTTTTATATAAGAATTGCAAGTATTGAAATTATAATTGATATAATTAATATAAGTATAAATTATATTAATATGAATTAATATATTTAATTTATATTTTTAAAATAATAAATAATATATATAATATTTGGGATGGGACGGGACATCCTAATGATAATCTCGTATCCTGAACCCCTTTCTTATCCCGTCCTGTAAAAGCCCGTCTCAATTGTTTTTGAGCCAAAACAAAATCCGTCCCAATATAATTGAGACGATACTAGGTTAATCGGGATAAATACAAACTGAACACACCTAACATGTCTTTTATTTTAGAAATTATTAATACTAACTTGAAACTCTCTTTTTTATCCTATCGTTCGGTGTACTGAATATTTGGAGGTTGTATAACCACCTCGCGCCCAAATTAATCTAAATTCTCATTATGTAGAGCTGTTATTACTAACGAACAATTTCATGAGTATCTTAAGAATACTTTTAATATATTTAATTTATTTAACTCGACTGCTTATTTAAAATTGGAACTCGAAACCTCATCATAAGTCAGTTCAATTCTCTTTGGTTACTTAAACCAAATGCCTCTTGGTTATTGACTTAGAACCCTGAAGTCAGTGAAGATAGAAGTACGGTAATTGAAAATATAATCATTAATGAATAATTTTTTAAAATGACAGATAAATAAAAGTAAATCTTTTTCAGTGGAAATATTATAAAGAAATGGGAATAAAAAAGAAAGAAAGATTAGTTTAGAAGGAAAAAGAAAAAAAGAAACAGAAAAAGTGTATAAGCAGGGTTAAGCTAATTAATCAAAATTGAAAATTATAACAAATTTATCACAAATATCTAAATTGACCAGAACCCTAGCTAGTATTGAAATTTGAAAGTTGAAACATCTATTCCAATTCTTTAGAGATTCTGGTACATGTTTAAGGTTATGCATATATGTTATGAAATTTATTGAATAATGCTTCCAATTATTTTTATTAATAAACTGTAATTTGATTTTAAAATAATCCATGTCTCATCGAAATTTTAACATAATAAATGTTTTAACAAAATTAAAATTCAAAGCAGTAGGTGTTGTCCTGTCCCAAAATATCTAGGGCATTACTTTTTTTTCTCTTAATTTATCCTTGTCTACGATTAAATGTAAGGAACGGCCTTAAAATTTAACAGAGGTAATAATAAAAAAAATACAATCTTTTGGGAAAAAAATTAATAACAAATTCTGCATTTAATTTCTCACTAATTTGTGCAAAGTCACAAAGACTAAAGATAACTAAAATAGGCTCAAGGCTGTCCGGGAGAGGAGCTTCTCCTTTTCTTTTATTTATTTCTATCACTTCTTAACTTAAATTCTCAATTATTATCTCAGTTTTAAATTATAAGATATTTTAAAAAAAAAATTGATGTCTTAAATTATAAGGTATCTTAACAAAAATAATATTTCATTAATGATGCTCTTCTTCTTATTCTAATTGCCCAAAAGTATTATCATATTGTTAGCAATTTTATTCGAAGTATGGTTGAATACTAAATATGGGCACCTCTTTGAAGATGCTTTTCTTTTCTTTCTTTTTTTAGTTGCTCAAAAGTATTTTTTTATTGAAAGCAATTTTGTTTGAAATACAATCGGGCACTAAATGTGATCATTTATCCTAGTGAAAATTTAAATTTTGATTTGTCAAGTTGTGAGAGACTAACCCGTCCCACTAAACTCAGCCCCCATGGTAAATGATTTTTTAATATTACCATTCTTAATTATTATATTATCTCTCTTTTTAATATTTTTTACAAATGAAATGTTAGATAAAGAATATTTATTGAAATTTATATTTTAAGACAAAAGTAATCGTCACAAATTATTCTTTCAACCCAAATTTATAAAATATTTTTTATAAAATTATATATTAATAAAATTTATTAAATACTATTTATAATCTTAATTTTATCTTGGATGAACATTCAAGTACTCCCTCCGTTTTTCTTTTAAAGAAATGATCAGTTTCTACTTGTATTTTTTAAGAAGCAAAATCATATATTCTAATAAACATTTATTACATAATTTCTAAATCATCTCTTATAATTTACATTGATAAAAAATAATTAATATATGTTTATGTTAATTAACATAATATATTTTAGTCCACTTATTTTATTTTTTTAACATAATTACTATAATTAATTAACTCTGTGATATAATTTATATATATACATATATATATATATATATATATAAAAACAGAGAGAGTATTTTTTTATTTCCTGGCCTTATAAACTGAGTAGAAAAGCTTCCACTAGATGACAATGTTCAGATTTCCATGGTGTGCATTCCAAAGCGCATGCTGTTGCGGAAGAAATCTAATGCCTTTGTTGTCTCTGACGCTGGGAGTCACGACAATTGTTTCCATTTGCTCCCGATCCAATTTATAAAACAATTTTAAATAAAAATATATATATTAATAAAATTTATTAAATATATTTTTTAAGTTTATTTTTAAGGCAAAACAACTTTCGATAACACTCTTCATTTAATATTATATTTATAAAAGAATATTAAAGATATCATTAACAAAATCTTATTTTTATCCAAAACGTTGGAAATTTTGTTGGATGATATAATTTGAGTCTTGTTTAAAAATACTGTCCATAAAAGTTATTCTCCTACAAAGGTTGAACGTGAAAACTCCTTTAGATTAAACGAACTTTTCCTCAAGCAAGGCGTTAGGATAACAAAAATACATGCATAGGAAAGAGCTCAGGAGATGGAAGAAGGATGCTTGAAAGTTCAGGTGCAGTGTACCCCGAACACTCCCTAAGTATATGCTTTATATAGGCCATAGATGCACGTGAATTTTAGGCACCACTTAACACCATTAAAACTTTCAGAGTTTTTAAATATCAGAACAATGAATTTGGATGCACCATTAAACACCTCAAAGTGAATCTGGATAAGAAATCCATCAATAGACATTATAAATTTCAAAAGATTAGAGTTTTAAACAAAACATCATTAATTACTATAAAATTCTTAAGTTACTATAAAATTCTTAAGGTTTGAACATTGAATTTAGTAACTTGAAATGTTTTTTTTCAATTTTGCAAAATATTTTTAGTAAAAGAGTCCAACATTACATCTTGCAAGTTGGTCCACAAAAAACATTACATTTTACACACACATTCTTCATCTTGATTCATCTGACTTGTCTAAATTCGCATCTTAGTATACATACACTAAGGCTACCTCATCTAAGTTGTAACATCTAAGAAAATTATTAGTTAACCTAACAAGTATAATTAATGAGTTAATGAGGTGTGTAGCCAGAA